TACATACCTATCTCTATTCCTTAGGCATAGGTTATATAACACCCTATATTCTAGGATCCTAGAGCAGCCTCTACGTAATATCCTATTACTATCCTACACTTTCCTAGTTGTTATACTACGCTAGATAATAAGCACTTAGGATAGGCTCTTTCCTCAGGCTAGGGGTATATTATGCTTTTCCCCTCTATAGCAAAACAAATTAAATAAAATTCTACTCCTAAGAGATAGGGTATTATAAGGAGATATATTAGAATGTTTTAATATTATGTTTATATTCTGTTAGCTAGGTGATATCCTCGCTAAGAATAAAGTAGTATAACCTTCCTTATGCCTAAGCCTAGATAAAAGGTAGAGACCTAGTAGTTTATAGCATCTACTAAAGACCATATCATAACTAATCCTACCTAAAACAGTTAAATCAGACCACTAGAATCGCAGTAAGACTTATACGCTGCCTCCCCTACTAACATATCTACTAGCACTAACCCTATAGCACCCCCTACTTATAAGTTGCAGAGAGATAGCTTAGCTATTGAGGAGGATGATTGCTATAAAGCAGGCCCTAACGAAGTAATAGATAATAAAGGTTGTAATTATGAAGATGAGGTTAATATGCCTAGCACGCGCAGTAGACTGCAGAGATAGGCAGTTAAGCACTCCACTAGTTACTACTAACTTCATAGTGAGCATTAAGACTACCTAGCGTACACAGCATATATAGGCAGTAGGGAAGCTAACATAACCTAAGAATAGTAACATAGTTTATCTCTAAGGTGCTATTAGATACCTTTAAGCTAGCTGACGCCCTTAATATGCTCTAGGTAAAGCATATAATCAATTTTAGGGCCTAATTAGCAGGGGTAACGTAGGCTAAAGTTATAGACACTTTTATCCTATAGTTCTTCCTCAACTTCTTCAGCATTATAGGTAAGCTAGGCTACCTAATCATAAGACCTAGCGCGCTACTCCTCAATAACGTTATCATCTCATTCCAGAGGTATAGCGCACCCTATAGCACGAAGCATATAGGCAGCGTCTCGTTCAATATGATAGGACGCATGTTTAGGATCGCGCAGGCCAGTATGCAGGAGGTCTAGTTTATTATTATATACCTACTAGCAGGTAATACTACCTAGTTAATAACATCAGCAGGCTATAGCTAGTAAGAGGCGTAGCAGTAGAGTTTGTTATATAATAGAATGCTGATTAGACTAGCCTGTAAACTTACATCCTATATCGTAAGCATCTTCCAGTCGTCATAGCTACTTAGTGAGGGTGTTAATACGTACTAGCAGCCTAGTAGCAAGGATAGCTAGCGCATAAGCTTTGCGCAGTAGTATATCTTCTAGACATAGTTTATAAACAGATAAGCAGCGTAGGTCTCTAGTAAGCAAAACGCTAATTCATACTAGCGACGCTATAAGCCAGCCTTCTATGCGTACAACTATAGCGTAAACTTAGAGATTAAGGTTGGGGAGGAGATCTTTAACCTACTGCAGGAGATGCATACCTTTAGGAAGTTAGACAGTAAGGCAGATGTAAGCTAGGCTGAGGAGGATAGGGATATAGTAGTAGAGAATAACATCTAGGCTAGCCTAAATAGCCTTATCCTCAATAACAGCAACAGTAAGAGTAGCGCAGGCCTTATAACATAAGAGGAGGATAGCTACCCCTATAACACTAACAACTAAATATACTAGCAGATACTTAGAGAGAGCGATAAGCTCTACAAGCTAGTTACTAAGCTTAGCTCTAGGTTCAGCCTAGATAATACTACTGCGATCTCCTATACGCTTGCTATCTATATCTACAGCTAGTTAGATAGAGGCTAGACGTAGTACCTCCTAGTAGACTAGAACATAGTGGCCTAGATGTTCCCTAGTAGCTATAACTACACGTTCTACCCCTAGGCTTTCTATCCTAGGTATAGCAACTTCTCAGCTAGCTAGCTGCCTACATTCTTAGACCCCCTATATGCAGCTATAAGGGGTAATATAAGCGACTGCAATAATAGCGCTAATATGCTCTTATTTAGCTACTTCTAAGGTTACTCTAATATTAAGCGAAGTGTACGCTATAGCTTAAACACCCTCTTCGCAACAAAGAGGTATGCAACAGCTATATTAATAGCACCAATATGCTACATATCTACCTCATCACATATGAGAGACAAGTAGGAGGCTATACTGCAGTGCATCTGCAGCTAACTGACGCTAGGAAGCCTAGAACAGTCTAAGCTGTTTGCGCGCAAGAGATAAAAGCTAGAAACCACTATTTATCAGGAGGAGTTTGTATACTAAATAGAGCAGGTTGTCTCACTAAACGTCTACTATATATACTGCGTAGAGCAGACGTTTGCTGCTATAATCTATCCTATCTTCTAGCTTATACGTTTCTTTTATGCTGAGCATAAGTTATATATCTACCTCTTCTGCTTAATCTTACCTTAAGTCTTCCCTAGGGTGATATATGCATACTCCTACGTATTTAAGCTAGCACTTAGCAAGATAGAGCAGCACTACGTAGCTAGGGGGGAGCGCAGCCTTAACCTAGCCTATAGCAAGGCTATCGTAGTTCTCAACTAGCTAGGAGGGTATATATTTATAAGCTATAAGCACTACCTCCTAACAATAGTGCTCTAGCTACTTAGCATACTAGATAGCCTCTAGTCTAGTATGTAGCCTTATATTAACCCTATAGTTTTAGGTCTAGACAGCCTAGCTAGCAGTAGTACTATTATAAATATGCAGCTATAGCTACGCTCAGCTAAGACGGGCAGGCTTATGCTACTATATATTAATAAGCTCTACTACTACTATAGTAATAGTATAGCAACTAGCTGCAAGATAGATATCTAGTTCGACTAGCTAGGCGAGGACGCCTTTAGGAGCCTCTTAGATATAATAAGCTTCACAGTAGAGCTCCTACGTAAGATATAGATCCCCTAGACGAAGCTGTTCCTAGCAAGCTAGCTATAGCGTAAGCTATAAGAGGCAGCTAAGCCTATAAGCATACTAATCACCTCTAACTAGATAGCAGCATATAAGTCTGCTATCACTACGTAGGAGGCTACGCTAGAGGCCTTTATAAGTAAGGCGCTGCAGGAGCTAACCTAAGCTCTCACACTAGGCAGCTCACGCTTAAAGATAGCTGAGTTAAAGCTATACACTAGATGTAACTATGCTGCTAAGCTGGTCTACGCTATTACTACTAGGAAGGGGTAGGCTGCAGTCGCCCTAATCTACTCTACCTAGCTAGATCAGCTATAGGTAGCTATAGCTAGCAGTAAGCTTAGCTAGGACGAGTAGGTTACTATGCTTATAAGCTAACTATATACTGCTAGCGTTAAGTAGGCACCTAATGCTGTTAAGAGCCGCCTATCGTCTACAACTATCATCTGCCTACATAGGAGATATATATGCGCAGTAGTCATGGGCCTACCTAGCTTGCTGAGGCGCGCTACGTAGGAGGCGTAGATTAAGCATAAGAATGCGCTATACAACTAGGCGCTCCGCCAGAAGCGCAGAGCTATCAACTTCAGCAACAGCTTCCCCTTTACCAACATCCCCCACCTTATCACAAATAGGTTCCTCTAAGCTAAGGTAACCTTCTCCAGCAAGGGTGATATATAGGTTTTAGACTACTACTAGCTTGCAATAAATATCCTCTCTAGCAACATTAATAACCCCCTCTATTACCTAATGCTAATGATTATATTAACTGTTTGCTCCTCATTAGAAACGCTAGAGGTTGCGCCTAGGTTGCGCGAATTTAGGACTGCAGCTAAGAGAAAGGACCTAGCCTAGCTAGCCCTCATTATAGTTATAAGGATAATATGGTTCCTCTACCCTACCTTATTCCCCTAGACGAAGGGTTTAAGTAGGACAGCCTATAATATAGCTAAGATGATGAAGAAGATTAGTATAGTATAACGTAAGGATAGTATGCAGCTTATAATGCTAATAGCGCTATAGAGCATAAGGGGTGTAGCAACTAGATATTACGTAAGCTAGGTTAGGTCACCTCAAAAAGCAACTACAACAGCCCCTAAAACATAAACCTATAGCTGCAGCCTTAAGAAGACCTCCTCTAGACACTCTAAGAGCTACAGTCAGCTATAAAACAACTAGACGACTTTATCAGCATAGTCTTCAACAGCTAGGATAACATCTAAATAGAGCGTTACGTAAGTATCATTAAGGATTAATAAGGTTATATAAATATAATAAACAGGCAAATAAGGGAATAGAGATAATAGGAATTAAGTAGGAGATGTAGATGCTTTAGGTCTTTTTCTAATTTTAGTAAGCAAATCTAATAGGAGCTAGGTGACTACCTAAAGGTGTTATATGCACACACTTAAGCCTTAAGGACGTATATACTGCTGATTACTAGGATAAATTATAAAGAGAGAAGGTCTAAGAGGGGAGGAGGGTCTATAGTAGTATTTATAGCTATCACCTATACCCCTAGCTTCAGCTTTCGTCTCATCCTAGGCGTAGATAACAGATCAGAATACCTATGCTATATAGGCATAGGAATATAACTAGGACTATAGTAAAGACTATAGTGAAGACCACCTTACCTTCATCTATATAATGCAATTTCTCAACTAGCCTCTCTTGCTAAGCTATTACGCATAGGATATATTAACTGTCGTGTCGAAAGGTTATATATCTCGCTAATAGGACTATTATCCTGAGGAAGGGGAGTATAAACGGGGATTAGAGATATAAAAGACCTAGATATAGTATAGAATATGAGGCTAGGCGGTACCTTACAAGAGAGTAGAGAACCTAGCGTCGCAGCAGAGAGGGGAATTCTATCAACATATTCCTAAGTATACATAAGGTATCACATTCTAATAGCTTAAAACTAAAAATATAAACGAAATAAAACCTAAAAAGGGGATTTCTTACTAATAGAGAGGCTTATAACAAACCAGACTAGATATTTAACATTAGGGCAAAAGGTTGCATAGGAAAAAGTTGCAAAAGTTGCAACCTACCTAGGACTTAAACCTAAACCTTCCCCTTAGCTAGAGGGGAGCTCTACTAATTAAGCTGGCAGGCCTCTCATCCTAACTAGTAACATCTCTGCAACGTTTCACGCCTTTAAGGCATACGCAGCCATAGTCTTACGCGCATGATAGTTGTTTTAGGCATATATATAAATTAAACCTACTTAGCCTAGCAGCAGCCTATAGGCACATCCTAAACTAGCATTACAACTAGCTGCTGCGCCGCCGCGCTCCTGCAGCGGCGCAACGGGGAAGAAATAGACAAGCAACAGAGGGTGCAAAAAAAGAGGCCTACCCTAGACTCAAACCTAGATCTTCTCCTTAGCTAGAGGAGTGCTTAACTGATTAAGCTGATAGGCCCTCAACTAGTGATTTAGCCTACTACTATTCTCCTACTTAGGCCTTTTAACGCACGTTAAGCGTTATAAGTTAGCTTAAGAGATTGCTAAGTTAGCGAGGAGCAACACTTGTAGGTAATATCGCTAGACCTAGGATAAGAGCAGGGCTTGCTGCTATCAGCCTAGCCTAGATGGTGAGGCGGGGCGGGGCGATAGGGCTGAGGCAGAGGGCGTCAGCTAGCTAATTATAGGGAGGTAGGGAAAGAACAAAAAGAAACATAAGAAAAAGGAAAAATGAACAACCTCACCTAGATTCAAACCTAGATCTTCTCTTTAGCTAGAGGAGCGCTCTACTACTAAGCTATAAGGCCTCTTGATAGGTGTTAGGAATGAGGGTGATATTGTTACTAATAAAGCCTAGCAGCAGATAGCAATATAATAAGCAAGACGTTAGCAACAGGCAAAAGGACACTTAGCTGTTTATATGTTTAGCACGTATATAGTATGCTTAGCAGCTAGGACCTTAAGGATAGATCTATAGGTAATAAGTAATAGGATAGGGAGCTAGATATATAGCTTATATATCACTAAAGCAGGTTAGAGTAGAATAAGAATGCTTTACCTCAAGCAAGTAGGTATCATAACTTTTGTAGACGCAGTGATCTCATACGTTACTTAAACTCTATATTACTCACTATAAGATCGTCTTAACTAGGGGAACGCTTCTAACTCTTCTAACCTATCTAATGCTAACTGCATAGCCTCAATCTCCTCAAGGCCACTTGCGCAAAACCTTTAGTTAAGAAACATTACTGAGGAGTATAAATAGAGATAAAACCTATCCACTATATAGTTCCCTAAGTCTATTACCTCTAACCTAAGGCTATACTAGAGACTTCTGAGGAGCGAGGACTATATCTTTCGCCCCCCTCTAGTAACATCAACAGACTTAAGAACAAGCTCCTAAAGCGTGTTGCGATACCCCTCTAGCAACGTTATAAGCTTGTCCCTCATGCAGTTGACGAATTTGATATAGAGGCTCTAGAGGCTAGGAATTTAAAGATCCTCAGAAAGCTTTAGAAATTGCTACCTTTAGTCGCAGGGATTAAAGTATAAAGTGAAGTTAGTTAGCATGGGAAAAAGACTGAAGAAGCTATAGAACTCTAGACACTAATCAGAGTCTATAGTCTAGATTAGGTTAGTATTAGAAACTAGTTTCTTCATATCCTCATTAAATACGTTCTCATAACTGTTTAGGTTAACCACAAGTAGCAGGGTTTTAATAGGAGCAAGCTGATTCTTTAAAGTGTCTGCAGACATAAGGATCGTTAATAGCATATGTAAGGTGATAGAGGTGCAGCCTATCTTTAGATCGCTAAACTGAATATAGAGTCTCTCTATAATATAGCAACTATATAGCAGTCCTATAAATAGGGCTCTAATCAACATAGTAGTAAAGACTATACTTTAGGCCTAGAAGGGAGTAATAAAGCAGTTTAGAAATATGCTAATATAGCAACTAAGTCGAAAGGCCCCCTAGGGATAGACGTCGTCGTTAATACTAACAGCTTTATAATAAGGGAAGTTAGATAATACCTCAACTAAGTCCCTAATTTAATCTCCCTTTCTTAGAAGGAAGTCCCTATAGCTACCCTATCTAGCCCTATACCTCTTAATAACAGCCTTATAACTATTATCACTAAGTGATAAAGTCTTACTGTCGCTAAGCCTAATATAATTATATTTATCGTTAATCCTACATATCTTATAGTCTGCTCAGCTTATATAATCTAGAGGTGTAACTAGGTGATCTGTAGTAAGTTTGACGACCTACACCACGTAATAGAGAACTAAATAGCGAGAGATCTTAACTAGGTTCTAGATGCTCTGATGTTTAAGCATGATATAGCGTATGCAAAAGAAACAGTCCTAGAAAGGTCTAGATATCTTATCAGCTAGAGCCTAGTAGGTAGAGCATAAGCTTAGCAGATCAGGTAACTTAAGGTGTTGCGATATATACCTAATAGTCTCTATAGGAAGAGTTATAAGTCAGCCTTATACTATTCTAAGATAGACTGTTAAGGTGAATAAGAACTAAGTTTGTGAAGTTAAAGCTATATCGCTAGATATACTTAAGCGCTATAGTAGAGACCCCTACATAAGAGGATGACTAAGAGATACCGCTATTAGGCTATATATTCGCTTCATACGTAACATAATTAGCAGCAAAAGTAGGCTAGAAAGTATCCTATATAATATTTATAGCGTTTATAGCAAAGGATATATATAAATACAGCTATATAAAGAACCTATATTATATTATTACACAAAAGAAGAATATTTCCCTAAAATAGGTTCCCTCATACTATAGTTAAGTTACCTAATTTATACTTAAGATAATTAGTATCTTATCATCATATGCCCTATATCGCAGTCCTCTAACGACGCTAGGGGTGAGCCAGCCCCTATTATTCCTACGATCCCCTAGTATATATATTCTATCCCAGCTGCACCTAACGTATAGGTAAGAAGCTAAACCGCTATCGTTATTATATATATAGCAACCTACCTCACTATGCCTACTTAAGTAGACTCTTACTATAAATAGATAATCAAGAGCATCTCAAACACATAGGAATAGCTGCTAACTAGCCCTCAAGCTGGCTCACCTAACGTAGTAACTATACCCTAAGAGGACACTACTATAAGTAAGGCTAGTCGACTACTACCCCCACAATAACTACTAGAGGATGCTCTAAGTAGGCTACGCTACCAGAGGGGCAGCTTAGCGCTCCCTACATCCCTAAACATAAGGTGCGCCCTACAACAGCCGCCTCTCAATGCGAAGCAGCGTTAGGCGGCGCAGCAGCGTAACGCTAAGCAGCAGGTAGTAGAGCGATAAGCGCGTCTCTAGATACCTACTAGAGGCACCTCTCTAACAGCAGGGACAGCTAGAGCCTATCCTAATGCAGCATTACAGCCTAGGGAACAGCTCTCAAACCTAGCTAAGATATATAAGTATCTATCAGCTATCACTATCTACTCACCCCTAACCTTAATAGGCTTACTTGAGCGCTATAGGCATACTATATCTAACCTACTAATCTATAACCTTAGAGCCTAGCTGCAAAGCAAAGATGTTAGCTATACGCTCTATGCCTTTTATAAATAGAGGCTGATAGTAGAGACGCATAAGCTGAAAAGGTGCTCGCATCAGGCAGAATTATCAGAAGCCTAGAGCTAGCTAGCAATGTTCTAGACATACTAAGCTAGCGGCAGTAGGATGGGGGTATGGTGCTACGTATGCTAGTTCCTACTAACGCTCTGCTAGTGGACAGCCTACTAGGAATAGATAGATAAGAAGTATAGCAACTAGCAAGAGGCGTTAGCGACAGTAGATATACTATATAAGGAGGTGCTATGCGTATAGGTAAAGGTTGTCTAGCAGTTTATCACAGCATATATAATCATAGGAGGCATTAGCGCTAGCATAGGCGTGAGCATATTAGGCGTGATAGTGCTAGAGATGATAGGCTAGATAGACTAGCTAGGTCTACTATTAAATAGGCCTAAGTATATACGTAGTTAGCTAGAGGAGATAGATAAAGTAGATAGGCTCTAGTGCCTACGCCTCCTATAGCTGTTTTAGCTCCTAGCCCACTATTAGATATGATTAAGGTTTAAAAGGAATTAGGTCCCCAAATAGGAGTCTAGGTCTAAACTGTTATCACATCTATAATAGCTATTATTACATCTTACTTTTACTACTTAATTATTCTATACTGGAACGCGTTAAGATATATGTTACGACCCGTAAACAAGGATAACAGCTGAACGACCCACTTGGGCGTCGGGCGGCTAGGACAGGACATTTGTACTGCAGGATCACGGGAACAGCAGGGACTCA